TTGTTTCGACCTGCTCTAAGATTCAGGCATGAAAACTGGGTTTCGACTGCAGCCCCTGCCTCCCTGCGACATTATTGGTAAGAGCACGAGCAGGAGCTGCATCTGCAGCCCCTGCCTCTATTCGGCATTATTGGCAAGAGCACGAGCAGGAGCTGCAGCTGTGACAATCCGCTCTGTATAGGGGAGACTTTGCCAAGGTCTACCTTTGCTTTGGGCACTGCATAAGGGTAGACTTAGGCTTAGTTAGTTCGGCAGGGTTTTGGAGTAAGGTTGTGATTATCCTCCAAGGACTTATATGTTTAGCTTGGGGTTTGGCCTGTCATGTGTTACAGGCCCTCTTGATCGGTTGATTCAGGATCTGGATTAGACTGAGTTCGATCCTACGAGGATCACCTTCTGTTATCGCTAATAACATGTCGATTGCCGATTCGTCGGTCTACGACTCAATTCCAACTCACTCTCCATACTCAACCTAAAAGGCTTTAGCCCTGGTGACTTTATTGTTTGTTAAGGGTTTCACCCGGACTTTTATTGAATGGTCATTTGACAAAGGTACTGAGTATTTAATTATGATTGGTTGGACAGGAGGTTGGGGCTTGCATGGCTAAAGTAAGGAGTATGAGTGCGGAGATTGGTTGGGGTTGACTCCGTGTAGTGCGTGTTTTGTCGTTCGATTCTTGATGTGATTGCAGGTACGTCCTGTGGCTCGGATTTTGGATTTGGATTGCCTGCAATCCCACATATATACATATGGTTGTGAGGAGTCCCACTGTGCCTGTGAGAAGTGATCGTCGCAACTCTATCTCCCTTATGCGTGTATGTTTGGGTGTACCTATGGTGGGTGTTCGCGAGGCCTAAAGGGCCCCGTGTTAAAAGCCTGCTTAGAGGTTAAGACTGAGAGGCATAGGGAAGACCTGTCCTTTTGCTTGTTTGCTTCTTGGGGGGTTCTTAGTCAGACGTTGGTCCTGGGCCGAGATTCAAGGTCCTTGTCCAGGACATCCCAAGCCCTAGACTCTGCAGGGGAGGAACTTCCCCTCGTACARAGCCTACCTGCATTGGCCATCGAGACACCCAACCCTGAAGGCGGAAATATCGCGAGGGCCGAACGGCGTGTCCTTCAGCCGTTCAATATCGTGAGGGGTGACCCCTCACGATATATTCCTTCAACCATTCAATATCGCGAGGCCGGAGCCGCGATTACCACGTATGACCGGCATCGTATGGTTGGTATGGGATTGGCTTGCAGCCGCACGACTTTATACTAGAATCGCGCGTGCGACGCTCCCTGCAATAGTGTCAAAGGGTTACGGGACAAAAGGGGCGCACACATTGCACAAATGCTTGGGATTATTATAGGCCGTGGGCACCACCCGAAAAGGGGAGGGTACCCCAAGATCATGAATTTCCAGTGGAGTAAGGGAACCTTCGGCCTATTCTCTATCTTTTGCTTTTTAGAGATTTTTATGGTTGGACGTTGTAGTCCGTGGCAGCCGTAGTCAAACCCCTTGACTTCCGCCCGGGCCTGGAGTAGGACTTACCCCCAGGGCCGCAAGAAACCACTGCCACCACAGGTATGGACMTGTGTACCACCCGCTCTGCACAGAGTGCAGAAGAGGGTGTGTGGTCTCCAACCGCGCATGGCGGTTGTCSGGCGTCGAGAGATTAACCCTCAAGGCGCGTGTCAGCCGRCACTTGAGTGTCGAACGYGACSCTCGAGATTAACGAGGTCCGCGCGAGTATGGGTATTGCATGATACSCCATCATTGCGACTGCTTGTGTACGTTTSCATTG